GGACGACGCCGTGCAGACAATGCTGCACGGACGCCGCCGCACGGACGACGCCGGACGGACGCCGCCGCACGGACGCCGCCGGACGGACGCCGCCGCACGGACGCCGCCATACGGACGCCGCCGGACGGACGCCGCCGGACGGACGCCGCCGAACGGACCTAGCTGGACGGGCGACGCCAGACGGACGACGCGGGATGAACGCAGCCGTTCCGACGACGCCGGACAGACGACGCCCCACGGACGACGCCGGACGGACGACGCTGCATGGACGACGCCGGACGGACGACGCCGCACGGACGACGCCGTACGGACGACGCCGTACGGACGCCGCCGAACGGACGACGCCGTGCAGACAATGCTGCACGGACGCCGCCGCACGGACGACGCCGGACGGACGCCGCCGCACGGACGCCGCCGGACGGACGCCGCCGCACGGACGCCGCCATACGGACGCCGCCGCACGGACGCCGCCGGACGGGCGCCGCCGGACGGACGCCGCCGGACGGACGCCGCCGAACGGACCTAGCTGGACGGGCGACGCCAGACGGACGACATGAGACGGACGCCACCGGACGGACCCTTCTGGACGGGCGACGCCTGGCGGACGACGCGGGATGGACGCAGCCGCTCGGACGTCGCCGGACGGACGACGCCGGACGGACGACGCCGCACGGACGACGCCGCATGGATAACGCCGGACGGACGACGCCGCACGGACGACGCCGTACGGACGACGCCGAACGGACGCCGCCGTACAGACGACGCCGTGCAGACAACGCTGCACGGACGCCGCCGCACGGACGACGCCGGACGGACGCCGCCGCACGGACGCCGCCGGACGGACGCCGCCGCACGGACGCCGCCATACGGACGCCGCCGTACGGACGCCGCCGCTCGGACGCCGGCGGACGGACGCCACCGGACGGACGCCACCGGACGGACCTAGATGGATGGGTAACGCCAGACGGACGACGCGGGATGGACACCTCCGCACGGACGCAGACGCCCGGACGCCACCGGACGGACCCTGCTGGAAGGGTGACGCCAGACTGACGACCCTGTGTAGACACGACACCGGACCTTCTTCTTCTTCTTGTCTTGGGACCTAAAAGTGTCTTTTACTGCTGAAGATTAGGACGGAACACGCATGGGAAAGCCCTGAGTGATGCGATGGCAATTCTTGACTTAACTTGTAGAGGAGGTCCAGACCCCACAAGCTACAGCAAGTGTTCTCAATAAGTGCATGAGCGCGGATGTCCAGGAAAGATCGCACGCACGTTACCCAGAAATCTGAACTGGTCATTTTCTTCTCAATAGACAAAGTAACTTACAGTGCCTTTCAAAGCTAATGCAGTCACACTTTGACACATTGTTCCAAAAATGTTCTGCTGTTCAACACGAATGTGTGCATGTGGTTTATGATTTCCTATGTCCTTGAGGTTTTAATGCACATCCGTTTTACAGATCTGGCTTGCTTGTTTGTAGGCTGTTAGTTTCTTGCCTTTTATACAGATACACTCCGATTTTAAAGGAAACGCTCCGTTAGTCGCAATTTACCCCAGAGTATTAACTCAGGAATCCATTACCTAGAGTCTAGATATTCAAAGTGAGTGAGATTTTTAATTTCTTTATAATTTTTTTTTTTTTTTGGGTGACAACCAGTTTGTAAGAAAACATTTTGTTTTGAAATTTCAGAATAGGTTTTGACAGTCAATAATGACTAATGTATATAAAAGTATTTGCGAACGCTGCGCAGAACGTATTTATTATTACTTCCGGGTGAAAACTTGAAAGGTCACTAGAATGTGTGTACAGGCGTGACGGTTCAGTGGTAATTTGATGGCGGTTGACCTTAGATCAGTGCTAGATTTCGGTATAATCTTAATGAAGCTAAACCTTAGGGCCCCAAGATCAGCATGGGTCTACGCAACTTAATTTGTTTGTAATACAGCATATCTTCTAACAACAAAATCAAAATTGTACACTTGCGAATTCAGCAAAAAACTGTTTTAAGTTTACCTTACAGCCAGTGTTGCCACTTTTCTTTGACAAAAAATATCCAAAACGGTGTCAAAAAATATCTAAATAGATCTAAATCTGCGTGGAAAAGAAATAGAAAGAACATCCAAATTTAAAAAGTCAAAAATTACATAGCTTTTGTAATGACTTACCCTACATAATCATGTCCTCACCTTCACTGATGTCTGCCTCACAAGATCCACAGGATAAACTTAGCTTGGATAATGAAGTTAAAGCTTCAGATCCAAAATGACCCTGGTATGCTTTAGCTGTTCAAATTTATTTATAAGTGGGCTTATTTCTCTAGTCTCATCAGGCCGAATTTTAATGGCACGATAGCATTTAAGAGGTCAAAGTTCACCCTGTTTTTAGGTTAGATTTGATATAATTCCTAGCACTGAAAACTCTTTCTACGTCAGCATTTGAGTGGGGTTTTATCATGGCAGACATGGCACTTTAAAGAGCTTACAGAATGGACTATTTGATGAGGCATCTTTGAATTGTCTCACTTCAATCGCTGAGGCATTATCAGTACCAATTACAGCCAAATTCTTCAAGCCTAACTGTTTGCTGATTAAAAGGTCCTTCAGTTCCTAAACTATACTTCCTACTTCACACTTTCAAATTGAACTAGTCCAAGATTTTTTACAAATCGATCAAATGGTCACAGTTTGAAATTGCGCAGTGACAAATTAAAAACATTGCGACTGATACTTCAACTTTTGATGATTCATTTATCAGTATAGTTCTGAAAACAGATGTCAGCGGTGTAATATCTTTAAATGAAACTGCAGTTTTATGCTTTTTTAGTCTCTGCATGACTCTTTGAGTTTTGTATTTTCGCTTTAATTTCACACTTGCAGTACTTACAACAAGCTTTGGTCATATCCCCAGTTTTTAATTTTGTCATCATGCAACCACTCTTTCCAAATTTTGTGCTCATACTTTACTTTTGGCATGTTGCAAGATTTTTTCAAAGTGAAAGCCACATAAGAAAGTGAGCAATTATTTTTTTTTAATCACATGAAAAAGAAACGCAAAGTCAGCACAGTGAGGATACGGTTGAAACAAAGTTAGTATGATTTACGCGCGTTTTTATTAATCAGTACCGGGGCTGCCAGATATTTGTGCGTTGACCCTAGTGAGAGTTCGAAGTTCAAGTAATGGCAGTTGTCACAATGTACCTGCCAGACCAAAACAAAAATATTGTAGTAAATATTTTACACAGTAATTATTAAATTAACAATGAAAGAAAAAAAAATCTATAAAATATCTAACTCCATATGAAAAGTTTCTAGAAAAATATTTACGATCTAAACGTCAAAAACAGTATCTAAATGCAATGAAAAAGATCTAAATTTGGATATAAAAGATCCAAAGTGGCAACACTGGCTAATACGTATGTCGAAGGACAGAAACACTGCAAAGTACTTTTCTGTTATTGTAGATTTCAAGCCAGATTGATCGCATGTTGGAAAAAAAATAGTTTTTTGTGTGTAGTGTAATATCATGTGAAAACCAGTTTGAAACAGCATTGACACTTCACAGTTTCTCCGTGAGTGTCATTAGTGTGTTGTAGTATGCCTTCCTTTCAATATGGTCGTGAGGTGAAGCTAGTGGCGTGTTTGTCAAATAATAATAAAATGATTTCTTGCTTCTAAATAGACTAGGTCCAGAGGTTCCCCCAGAAATCCAACCTCTAGAAATGGAACTTGGTATCAACTGTGAGATACCATCTAAAGAGGAAGTTAGAAAATCTATCAATCTTCTCAAGGAAGGAAAGGCGGCAGGCCCAGATGGTAACCCAGCTGAAGCCATCAGGGCCAACATAAACACATCAACAGAATTGCTACATAGATTATTGAGTAAAGTCTTGGAGACTGAAGAAATACCAGCAGACTGGAGAGACGGATATCTTGTGAAACTGCCCAAAAAAAGGTGATCTACAGGAGTGTGAAAACTTTAGAGGAATTATGTTGCTGTCAGTTCCTGGAAAAATATTAAGTAGAATTATTTTGGAAAGATTAAAAGATGCTATTGATAAAAAGGTAAGAGATGAACAGGCAGGTTTCCGGTCAAACAGATCCTGTACTTACCAGATAGCCACATTACGTATTATAACAGAGCAAAGCATTGAACTCAACTCACCACTTTACATTGGATTTATAGACTATGAAAATGCATTTGACGCACTGATAGGGAATCTCTCTGGAAATTAATGGGGCACTATGGAATTTCACAGAAAATTATTAACTTAGTAAAGGCAACATATATAAAGATATGAAAGACAGATACATTTGAAATAAAAACACGTGTGCGACAGGGATGTCTTTTGTTGCCTCTCTTATTTTTACTGGCTATAGACTGGACTATGAAAACAGTAACTGCTAACACAAAGAATGAAATTCAGTGGACCCCTACAAAACAGCTTGAGGATCTGGACTTCACTGATGATATTTCCCATTCGCGGAATCAGATGCAAGAAAAATTAAATGTACTTAATGCGAGATCACATCAGCTTGGTCTAAAAATCCATAAACATCTTGCTTGTGATTAAGAAGGTTTCCAGAGGGTTAATATGGAAGCACGGTTCTGCAAAGGACATGCTACAGACTGACTGAATACGTCTTACATCCGCTGATATCAAAATGTTTAGCACTAAAATGTAGCGATTTTTATTTGCGATATTAACTATCTTCTTCTTTTACTTCAGCATTCCGAGCCCTTGAGGTTCATTGCTGCAGATATCACTCGCCTCCATTCAATTCTCTGTTTGGCCATCTTTTTCCAGTTGGTGACACCAAGTGTTTGCAGGACTTTCTAGACATTATCTCTCCATCGTCTTCTTGGTTTGCCTCGTGGTCTACGACTAATCATCTCCCTTGTGTATACAACAACAACAAATACTACTACTCCTACTACTTATACTACTAATGCTGCTGCTGCTGCTGCTGCTACTAATACTGTTTTTTCACTTTCTGTTACTGAACTCTAACGTTTTCTTGGTGTCGGTGCCACGGAAAAAGAGAGCCAAGAAATAATGACACATCACAGAGAAGTAAATAGAAGAAGGTTCCCTGAAATGTTCGCTGACTGTTTTTGTGCTGTCTTCCTTTGTTAGACATGGTTCCAGTTGGCTCAGGAAGAACAGGGCTCTGATTCGGAAGAACAGGGCTCTGATTCGGAAGAACAGGGCTCTGATTGGGAAGAACAGGGCTCTGATTAGGAAGAACAGGGCTCTGATTCGGAAGAACAGGGCTCTGATTCGGAAGAACAGGGCTCTGAATGGGAAGAAAAGGGCTCTGATTCGGAAGAACAAGGCTCTGAATGGGAAGAACAGGGCTCTGATTGGAAAGAACAGGGCTCTGAATGGGAAGAACAGGGCTCTGATTGGGAAGAACAGGGCTCTGAATGGGAAAAACAGGGCTCTGATTGGGAAGAACAATGCTCTGATTGGGAAGAACAGGGCTCTGATTAGGAAGAACAGGGCTCTCATTGGGAAGAACAGGGCTCTGATTAGGAAGAACAGGGCTCTGATTCGGAAGAACAGGGCTCTGATTCGGAAGAACAGGGCTCTGATTGGGAAGAACAGGGCTCTGATTCGGAAGAACAGGGCTCTGATTCGGAAGAACAGGGCTCTGATTGGGAAGAACAGGGCTCTGATTGGGAAGAACAGGGCTCTGATTGGGAAGAACAGAGTTTGAATTAGAGTGATATGTGCACTTATTCTTAAAACCCAGCCTTTATCTGGACTGATGAATGTTATGACCTCAATACCCCCGGAATAGATCTCCCATTTTATGACAAGTATTCTAGTATTACAAGAGAGAGCTCTGGTTCTACAACGTCACGAGACTCCTATTTCTGGAATCCGAAGCAACCTCTATCTAGGCCAGGGAACAATTATCTGCATACAAACGCTTCGATACCCGCAACTGCCGCCCCACTTTCGGGACATGTCTATTACCCGTGTCCACAGACTTGCTTCTCTATTGTTAAATGCACTTTTCACTCACAGAATGTATTTATTTATAGCACATGCTGATCTATCGCGTGACATGCGTCTCTGACACAAACTGCATGTGCCCGCTGTATTGATTCCAGCATTCACCTGTTTGTCTATCTACCCGGCCGTCCGTTTGTCTGCCTGTCTTTTCGTCATTTCATCTGTCCGTTAAGTGCTGTGATATTTCCACAGGCTGCCTGTCTGTCTGTCCACACAATAGCCAGAGGGACTTCATTTCATTGTCTTTTTACGCACCTTTCAACATGCACACTTACATACCCATACACCTACATACCTACCCACCTACATACCCACTGACCGACCTACATACCAACCCAACTACATACCAACCCACATACCCGCCTATATACCCACCTACCTACATGCCAACACACCTACGTACATAAACACTTACATACCAACCCACCTACCTAACTACAAGCCTGCCTGCCTAAGTCCATACATTGATACATACATACATACATACATACATACACACACACACATACACATACATACATACATACATACATACATACATACATACATACATACATACATACATACATACATACATACATACATACATACATACATACATACATACATACATACATACATACATACATACATACATACATACATACATACATACATACATACATACATACATACATACATACATACATACATACATACATACATACATACATACATACATACATACATACATACATACATACATACATACATACATACATACATACATACATACATACATACATACATACATACATACATACATACATACATACATACATACATACATACATACATACATACATACATACATACATACATACATACATACATACATACATACATACATACATACATACATACATACATACATACATACATACATACATACATACATACATACATACATACATACATACATACATACATACATACATACATACATACATACATACATACATACATACATACATACATACATTCATACATACATTCATACATACATTCATACATACATTCATACATACATACACACCATTCATACATACACGACAGAGGCAGGGGAGTAGTAGTATGCTGGCCAAAGAGCCGGAGTGTTTTTCTTTTCCACCTGCTCGCTACAAGAGTACAATAGCCGCCCATCAAGGTCTTCATTTGGTTCCAGTTCTCGCATGCTCTAGGGCGGGGCGGGGTCGGGCACCACTTTAGACTGATTGTCAACGGCAGTCCCTGAATATAGATTCCCTTGTGCTTGACCGGAAATTGCTCATTGCCACATGGGAGAATCGTTTTCAGTATCAGATACACGACCAATGATAATTTGTTTGACTTCATATTGATTCTGTATGTCTGTCTGTCAGTCAGTCTGTATTATTTTATCCTTAGATCAGGGCACAATCGACTTCGCAGCCACACGTAGATTTAATACTGGCTAATCAGCTACGTGCACCTGTGTACTGTCACCTGAGGCAATAGATCATGTCCTACAAGATTGTCCCGAATACAACATTTCCATACAAAACTTCTGGCCAAAAGTTTCTGTGCAGACAAGCGAATTACAAAAGACAGTGATGTTCATACTAGTAAATATAGATAATTCTTTTTTCAAGCGAAAGAAATAAGAATGTATGTCTGCCTAACAACCTGCTGTCTTACATACCTACCGATGCATGTGAGAAGCATTTGCGTATACGTACTTATGTACTTATCTGTATGTTTACTTCTCCACTACCTGTCTGTCCTTAAATAGTTATTATTGAATTAAGAATCGTCATCACAGCACTCGGGACACTCCCATAAGTGTTCAGTCCCCATCTTCAGCGGCAAGCGAAGAGTTCAAATTCCGATGGTATCAGTTACCGTTTTATTGTATATCCGTCTCATCCCTCCCCTGAGTGTTGAGCGTCGGCCAGATCCCTTGGGAACTCCTCGCAGCGCCATTCTCCTCAGACCGTAATGATCTATCTACATCTCCGCACTGTTCACTCGTTCCTAAAGGGCTCGGTCCTCACAATATCTAACTTGTCATACATCAATTCACCACAAGTGGTGCAGAGCCAGCCAGTCTATCTGTCTGCTCATTTTCCGACACACCGGCATAACCTGGAGAAAATATCTGTCTACTCCAGACAACTGTAAAGGTAATTTATAAGCATGAGTGCCAGCCAATGGCATTTGTGAATCTGGCAGTATCTTTAAAAGACTTGAACCAGTCGTGCAGTTGATTCTTCCATTCCATTTTGTGCAATTGTTTCTGTAACGAGTCTATAGGTCTCTGTCGTTAACGTTAGACCAAGATGTTCTCTTGGACCTCCTAGTTTCATCAATCCATTTGTATCAATTTTCAGTGCCTGTTTTGTAATTCTGGGCCCTCTTTGTCTCAGAAGGGGCCTAGTAAAAATCATTGGATTCTCCGTGTCACTTTTTAGAGAGGCTATCTTAGTTGGGTTTCTGAACCTATAATAATGTCTATAATTTTACAGTAATACACGCGTCTCCAGCACCGCCCAGTGTTGTGATAACAAGTCCAAGTCCAAGTCCTTTTGAGAAAAAAAATAAAAGCTCGACCACGTTCAGACTGCTGCTAGCTAGCCTAGGCTGCTAACAGTCTCCGCCTATATTTGTGGTCTATCACAGTCTTGGTGAGAGATGTTGTACCAAATATGCGGACCTACTGGATACGTACTTCTTATTTGCTCTGGGTTATAAACTCCGATTTGAAGTCTTGGTTATTCGTTCACTTTTGGACGCTGATCGCGTTCCACGTGTTGAATGTTGCGTGTTCCCCGTGTGGGTTACGGGGCTGTAGGGGAAACAAGAATAGACCCACTACCTACCCAAAAGCATGTCGTAAGAGTCTACTAATTGGATGCTTTTTCAAAGTCGGAGTGCAGGTGCTTGAGAGGCAAGAATACGACAACTGCATGCAAATGGGTCATGTCTGTAAAATGGATACACACGCAACACTCAGGTTCTGGAAAAAGACTAAAAGTCCAGAGGTAGACGAACAACCAGAACTTTTCGCTGGAGTTTACAGCCTGTGAAAGCGAAGAAGAAGAAGAAGAAAGTTGCGTGAACATCAGTTTTAAGACTGACCCTTTTTGTGCGCAGACTGATGGCTCCTAGCCTCAGATGCAGATGCACTCTAACTTCTCAGCCCCTGGCTCAGTCTTAGTCATACCCTTGTGGTATGCACTTTTTCGTTATTTTGAAGCCCTACTCTGGCTCTTGCCAGGGGCTGCAATACAGCCCAGCCATAAATATGGTCTAATGAATGAACGCAGTTTCCGGGACCTCTCCACTGGTGATCCTCATCCACATGGTGGCACTTTGTGCCATCGGGTGTTTATCGCTTGTGTGATGTCCTGGTTGGGTAAAAGTACTACTACTACTACTACTACTAGCCCCGGGCTGGGAACCTGCCCCTATGATGACCGCAAAGAAATATAGATCTTTACCAGCATGAGCCCTGATACTAGAAAACCAGCAGGCGTAATTCGCAACCCTTGCATATTGTCCTGGAATGTTGGCTAGGCTCACACTGAAGGCTGTGTTAACGATAAGTTTGTGTGGCTTCTTGAAATGTCCTAGCATACATTTTGATTTTAGGCAACTCATATTGGCCATGGACGTTTATAGATCACTCAGTACTCCATTCGTGATAGGGACAGCCACTTTTACATCACATGACATTTCCTGGTACCCTTTTAGACTGCATCGACCTGAGAATAAAGATTCTAGCACCGTCCTTGTTGGGGACTGGAATATATCACTACTAGTCCTGTGCTAACCAAAATGCTTGTCTGGCTCCAATCGCTCCTAATTTATTTTACTTTTCTTCCTTATTTTTTTTTTGGTTAATTTTTTTTTTAAAAATTGGTGCCGTCTCCACGATGCAGATTGGCTGAAGTAAACCTGTACATTCACCGTAGTGAAATAAAAATATTAACACAATGCGGCATTATTTTTACCAGGGTGTAATTCTCGTACAGCTTCGTAGAAACCCCCAGAGCTGTCCTTTTGTTCCTAACTACTCATTTGTAAGACATGCGAGACTGTTGACAAATAATTTTGTTTTGTATTTTATGTCTGCAATGATTCCTATCGTCATTTGTCATGTTTTGGACATTTATTTGCGTCAGAGGCTGCAGACAAGACATCTAGAGCGAAACATTAGAGAACACGCCTCAGTCCAGAAATCGATAGAATGTACTGCTATGCGAATCCAGCTGCGTCACTCGGAATTGTCGATCTCTTGAGAATGAATATTTTAGCACGGGGTCATTTGCTATGAGACTGGGATTTAAAAAGACAAGCGTTCGTGTTGTTTAAAGCACCTATGGGATACTGATTCTAAGGTGTGGCTGCCTATGTATTCTTTTCTTTTCTTTCTTCTTCCTTTCCCCTTTTCCCTTCAGTTTGTTACAATACAGTTTGATAGCCCCTGATAATTGCACCTCACATAGCAAACCAACAGGATAAATCCCATTTACCTTGTTTAACATCTAAATACGTTATAATCAAGGCACCCGTTTCGGCTATACCATGCTATACCAGGCTTGTACACTTTGTTCTGTTCGAGTAAAGAACTAGTTATGTTTAATATCATAGGTCGCACACGCAACACTCAGGTTCTGGAGCAGGACTGCAGTCCAGAAGTGGAGAAAAACCAAAACTTTACGC